CCGCTCCGTTTCGTCTCTCCCTCTCTCTCTTTCTCTGTTCCCCTTCTCTCTCCCTCTGTCTCCCCCTCTCTCTCCAACCACAAGGAACGTGCGTCGCCTCCTCCGATTCTGAAGAGGACTATCGCCGCGCGGAGTGGAACTTTGGATTAATTAATCCGAAATTCCAGGACAGCGTTGTCGTTTGTCGTCGTGGACTTGGCGGCGCAAGGGTAACGTCTTAGCTGTGCAGGACGGTGGTGGCGGCGGGCGGGGTGGGGGCGAAGGGTGCGACCAGCGACCACCACTCCGAAGTGTCCCGGCCCGGCAAGGTCCCCGCAGTGTCTCCATCCCTCTCAAAGTTTTCGTCAGTGGCGTAGCCGCAACTGTGAGGGGCCTCCTTCGAGTAAGAGAGAGAGAGAGAGAGAGAGAGAGAGAGAGAGAGAGAGAGAGAGAGAGAGAGAGAAAGAGAGAGAGGGAGACTGCGACGCGACGCGAGTGTGTGCCATTCCCTCGCGGAATGCCAGGAATGATCCCCATACCGGGCGCGCCGGGGAGGGCCCGGCGCTCCACTTCACCCCCTATCGGTTTTAGTGGTTGAGGCCAGGCGGGCCGGGCGGGCCGGGCACTCTCCTGCAAAGTTTGCTTTCGCGCGAGGGGGCGTCGAGATAGTTTACGTCGTGGGTTAGAGTACCGCGCGCGCGATGGGCAAAGGCGGCAAAGGCGACCCCACGCCAGCAGGGGTGCTCCGCGCTGTTTGTTTGGTACAAACACCAACATGCAGCTCGTCGGCGCTTTTCCCCGTGTTGCTTCGGTGAACTCAACATCCACTTGAAGTTCTGTCTGACTGGAAAAAACTAGTCTTAATCAAGTCGCGATTATTCTACCACGGCAGTCATTTACAATCGTCTGTCTCCCCTGCAGTGGCCGGTGAGCTCCCCTTCCTGGACACGGATGCCTTCTACCGGTTCTTCATGGACAAGCCGCCCGGCGACCCGCTGCCGACGCAGGAGGAGCTGGAGGCGGCCGAGGACGACCTGCACGACGCCATCGACGTCATGAACAAGCGCGCGCCGCACGCCACGCTGCGGTACATCCTGCGCAAGCCGTGAGTGTCCCCTCCCTGCACACCCCGCCCACCCCCGGTGGCCGTCGTGCCCCTCCTCAACGTCCACCCCCCATACGTCTCTGTCCGCAGGCCCCAGGAGCGCAGCGAGGACGACCTGGAGATGGTGTACGACGAGCTGATGCGGATCCGGGCGCTCAGCCACCTCGGCAACTCGGTGCGCCGCGAGCTGGCGCACGTCATCGTGTTCGAGTCGCACCCCAAGGCCGGCGAAGTCCGTGAGTAACAGACCGACATCCCGCTGAATATGCACCGGGCGGATGGGGATGGTGATCTCCATCCGATTCTATGCTCATAATGTGTGACTTCCAAATCAGACGAGGATTTTCAGCTTGCAGATGCAGGTATCCTCTCTTCTTTTCGTCTTCCTTTACTTCAACCTTGTCCATGTCCCCAGTGTTCCAGCAGGGCGACGAGGGCCACAGCTGGTACATCATCCTGCGCGGCTCCGTGGACGTGGTGATCCACGGCAAGGGCGTCGT